TATTTTTCCCGGGCAGGTGATCGATGGCGCACAGGTCCGCCCGGGATTGGATCATCAGAAATCCACCTCCATATTTGGCTGGCAGGGTCTTTACCTGGTAGATGAAGTTGAACAACTCCATCGTGCACGCGACCTCGTGCCGAGAGCAGATTTGCGGAAAGCAAGCTAGAATCCTATGCGCGTTCGGGCAGATCTGGGCCGGGACCACTCGGTAGTAGCCCAAAAACGCGGTCAATAGGGCGGAGAAGGGGATCTGGATCGGTGCTAGGAGTGATTTATAGTGCATCCTGATCCACTTCCCTTCGTGACGCTCAATGATATTCCCTAAACTCCGACGGGTGTCGAAGCGAACCCGACCGGTGAGTATGGCGGATATCTTCGACGCTTCTCCCGTCGTCATCAGGCTTTCTTGCTGCTCGATGCTTTCACTGTTCAAAAATAGGAACTCGCCGTTGGCTTGTGCGGGCAGGGCAGCCGGGTCTTCCTCGACCGGCTCGGGTGTGGCCTCCCGATCGCCGGTCGTAGGTGCTGCTTGAGGGTAATCCCCAATTACCCGGGTCGGTGTTTCCCGAGCAGCTTCGGTCAAGGAGCGTCGTTCTCTCGTTGTAGTCTCGCCGCTCCCGCTGCTCGATCCGCTCGATCTAGATGACCCTTCCGAGCTAGACGACCTTTGTCGCTCGGAGGCTCGTTGTGGTCGTTGAACGACCTCTGGTGAAGATGCTTCGACGTCGATCTCTTCGCTGAGCTGCTCGACCGCGTCGTCGTAGTCCGTGCCCGAGATATTCTGGCTGTCTGTATCCGACATGCTGTCTTCCTAAAGGGTGTTGGGATGTTGTTAGGGTCGGGTACGACCCGGTCGTGGTCAGTTAAGGCCCGTAGTCGGCCATTGCTAGATAACGTACCGAGTGATTGCAGTTAGCTGAGAATGCTGAAATGCTGATTGCTCGACCGACTCTGAAAGTTGCTCGCTTGGGATGCTCCGATCGACTGAGAGGGTTGGTAGAAGTTCAAATGAATTTCAGAACCTATTTATAGGAGAACTTTTGGGCGGGAAACGGCCCACTTGCGCGAGGTGACCGTTCCGGACTCCGAGGCGCGCAGAAGCTGACACGTGGCCCGACAGAATGACAGTTGTCCGGTCGGATTGGCGGCAGACGTTTGGACTTCTTCATCCCATCCCATTTTTTCCCGGGCGGTTAAAAAGGCCCGGGCTGGGGGGCCCTTGGTAGGGAATACCCCGACCGACATGCCAGGTGTTTTATTCTTGTTTATGCAGGTTACAGGTCGGATATTCTTGGAAGAACCCGGTCGTACCTGACTGGTGGAGCACCTGACTGGCGTCTTCAACTCCCGATCGATAGCCCTTAGACGAGAGAATCGAGAAGAGGCACGTGGCAGCGTTAGGCGCTGACAGGCAGGGCTAGCGGAGTGAAGACACGTGGTTGCTACGTGGGCTACATGCCGACCGACCGGAGCTGTGTCTCCGGCCTAGCGGCTATAAATACCCACGGCGGCAACAGTGTGGGGGATTTTTGGAACGATCGATAGGCTATTTACAGAGCATCCTGACCGCAGTTAGTCGGCCCTCGGAATAGCCACTTAGATTGTATTAGGTCCTTTTACACGAGCAATAAAAGATTTACTTGCTTTACTTGATCATGTTATTACTTTAACCGCATTACGTGGAATTAGTACTATCAACCATAATTCTTGGGAACACACAGCTTATCCCAAGTTTTCCAGTGGATTCTCCTGTCCGTTCCACTGCCCCACCAATATCTATTCATAGTTCTTTCAATAGACAAAGTGACTGAGTCTGGCAAGAGAAATATGCCCATTGTGAAAGTAGGCATTGCCTGTGCCACACTTTTTAACAAGACTTCTTTACCAGCCTGTGATAGCAGTTTTTTATTCCATTACCCTATCCTTTGCCTGATCTTGTCCTCTACATAAGCAAAAACTGCCTTCTTATTTCTTCCCACAAACGAAGGAAGACCCAGGTATTTTCCAAAATTTGGGGCTTGGTCAACCTGTAGGCAATCCGCTAACGCCAACCTTTCGGCCTCCTGCGTGTTTCTGCTAAAACAGATATTAGACTTATGAAAATTTACCTTCTGACCAGACAAGTTCTCATAACGATTCAGGCACTGTTTAATCACCGTAGCCTCCTGCACATTTGCGCTGAAAAATAACAGACTGTCATCCGCAAAAAATAGATGCAAGATTGGGGGTGCACTGTTTCGCCCCAAATAACACCTCTCCCTCGGTCCCGACCGATAGGGGTGTACAGCTAATCGGCTCTAATAGCCATCTACCGAATTGGCTCTAATAGCCAAGCTACCACATGGCCGGTCGAATTCTAACGACCAACTATAGCGCTCATCTTCGGCGGATGCTCAGGTCACGCCATCGATCGGGGATACCAGAGCTCCATCAAAAACTCCCCGATCCGTCCAAACTTCTTTTCACTGTCGCACTCACTCGTGCCTTGTGTGCACAACAGTGTGGGGCTAGGGTGAAGGAAGGAAAGCACAACACAAGGCCAGGTGATCGGGAAAACCCCGAACGGACAGGCCAAAAATGTTTTTCGTGTTTTCGAAAGGCCATTAGGTCAGGACACGCACGACCAGGCCATTAGGCCGAAGGGTCGGGCAAAGGACGACCGGCATACAACCAAACAAAAATAAACGAAGTAAACGCATAAAAATAAACCGAACAAGACAACTTGGAGGAAGAAAATGGTTAATCCGAGGTGCTTCTTCTTCTTTGAAGCCCATTGCTGCCATTTCTGCAAACAGAAAACAAAATGGTTAATCCGAGGTCGGGGACGATCAGTTAGTGTTAGACCTTCGTTCGCCGGCTCAACCCGAGTAGCCGCCCTTGCAATCGTCACGCCCGTTGGCACATGCACGTACTTCTCCTTGAGATCGTATCGTGGCGGTGGCAGTCGGGCCTCATCTTAGCATTCCCTCGAGCGGAAGATCTTGTACTAGTGGATCTCGCTCGAGATTTTGGAGACGGCATCCTGGAGGGCCTTCGTCTCGACTGGCACAACTTGCTTCCTATAGTGAGTGCTCCACATCCTCTCGACCGGGAGGATACACGGGACGTACTCGACCGAGAAGATCCTGTTCTTCCAACCTTTATTTTTCCCGGGCAGGTGATCGATGGCGCACAGGTCCGCCCGGGACTGGATCATCAGAAATCCACCTCCATATTTGGCTGGCAGGGTCTTTACCTGGTAGATGAAGTTGAACAACTCCATCGTGCACGCGACCTCGTGCCGAGAGCAGATTTGCGGAAAGCAAGCTAGAATCCTATGCGCGTTCGGGCAGATCTGGGCCGGGACCACTCGGTAGTAGCCCAAAAACGCGGTCAATAGGGCGGAGAAGGGGATCTGGATCGGTGCTAGGAGTGATTTATAGTGCATCCTGATCCACTTCCCTTCGTGACGCTCAATGATATTCCCTAAACTACGACGGGTGTCGAAGCGAACCCGACCGGTGAGTATGGCGGATATCTTCGACGCTTCTCCCGTCGTCATCAGGCTTTCTTGCTGCTCGATGCTTTCACTGTTCAAAAACAGGAACTCGCTGTTGGCTGGTGCGGGCAGGGCAGCCGGGTCTTCCTCGACCGGCTCGGGTGTGGCCTCCCGATCGCCGGTCGGAGGTGCTGCCTGAGGGTAATCCCCAATTACCCGGGTCGGTGTTTCCCGAGCAGCTTCGGTCGAGGAGCGTCGTTCTCTCGTTGTAGTCTCGCCGCTCCCGCTGCTCGATCCGCTCGATCTAGATGACCCTTCCGAGCTAGACGACCTTTGTCGCTCGGAGGCTCGTTGTGGTCGTTGAACGACCTCTGGTGAAGATGCTTCGACGTCGATCTCTTCGCTGAGCTGCTCGACCGCGTCATCGTAGTCCATGCCCGAGATATTCTGGCTGTCTGTATCCGACATGCTGTCTTCCTAAAGGGTGTTGGGATGTTGTTAGGGTCGGGTACGACCCGGTCGTGGTCAGTTAAGGCCCGTAGTCGGCCATTGCTAGATAACGTACCGAGTGATTGCAGTTAGCTGAGAATGCTGAAATGCTGATTGCTCGACCGACTCTGAAAGTTGCTCGCTTGGGATGCTCTGATCGACAGAGAGGGTTGGTAGAAGTTCAAATGAATTTCAGAACCTATTTATAGGAGAACTTTTGGGCGGGAAACGGCCCACTTGCGCGAGGTGACCGTTCCGGACTCCGAGGCGCGCAGAAGCTGACACGTGGCCCGACAGAATGACAGTTGTCCGGTCGGATTGGCGGCAGACGTTTGGACTTCTTCATCCCATCCCATTTTTTCCCGGGCGGTTAAAAAGGCCCGGGCTGGGGGGCCCTTGGTAGGGAATACCCCGACCGACATGCCAGGTGTTTTATTCTTGTTTATGCAGGTTACAGGTCGGATATTCTTGGAAGAACCCGGTCGTACCTGACTGGTGGAGCACCTGACTGGCGTCTTCAACTCCCGATCGATAGCCCTTAGACGAGAGAATCGAGAAGAGGCACGTGGCAGCGTTAGGCGCTGACAGGCAGGGCTAGCGGAGTGAAGACACGTGGTTGCTACGTGGGCTACATGCCGACCGACCGGAGCTGTGTCTCCGGCCTAGCGGCTATAAATACCCACGGCGGCAACAGTGTGGGGGATTTTTGGAACGATCGATAGGCTATTTACAGAGCATCCTGACCGCAGTTAGTCGGCCCTCGGAATAGCCACTTAGATTGTATTAGGTCCTTTTACACGAGCAATAAAAGATTTACTTGCTTTACTTGATCATGTTATTACTTTAACCGCATTACGTGGAATTAGTACTATCAACCATAATTCTTGGGAACACACAGCTTATCCCAAGTTTTCCAGTAGATTCTCCTGTCCGTTCCACTGCCCCACCAATATCTATTCATAGTTCTTTCAATAGACAAAGTGACTGAGTCTGGCAAGAGAAATATGCCCATTGTGAAAGTAGGCATTGCCTATGCCACACTTTTTAACAAGACTTCTTTACCAGCCTGTGATAGCAGTTTTTTATTCCATGACCCTATCCTTTGCCTGATCTTGTCCTCTACATAAGCAAAAACTGCCTTCTTATTTCTTCCCACAAACGAAGGAAGACCCAGGTATTTTCCAAAATTTGGGGCTTGGTCAACCTGTAGGCAATCCGCTAACGCCAACCTTTCGGCCTCCTGCGTGTTTCTGCTAAAACAGATATTAGACTTATGAAAATTTACCTTCTGACCAGACAAGTTCTCATAACGATTCAGGCACTGTTTAATCACCGTAGCCTCCTGCACATTTGCACTGAAAAATAACAGACTGTCATCCGCAAAAAATAGATGCAAGATTGGGGGTGCCCCCATAGCAGCTCTGCATCCGTGTATATAGCACATCATCTGCGCCTTCTGTAGTAATAAAGACAGACCCTCTGCACAAATAATGAATAAATATGGGGATAGAGGATCTCCCTGTCTGAGCCCCGAGTAGGTACTACTCGACCACCCGTCACCCCATTCACAAGTATATTGTACTCAACAGTGATCACACAGAGCATAATCAGATTTGCCCATCGTTCATCAAACCCCATGACTACTAACATTTTCCGTAAAAACTCTCTTCTAATTAACCTAAGTTTTCTCACATTTTAATTTGTCAATAAAATTTGAATTTCGTAACTATCAAATAATCTCTAAATTTATTATGTTAGCCACGTCCAAGTGAATTGTTCCCTAGCTTCAAACATTTCAGGTCTTGGGTTTTCAAGGTCTTTTTTTTTTTTTCACAGAAATTACTGCGCAATTCCCCATTAATAAGCACGCAACGAATACTTCAATCTTTCATATAATATAATCATAAGTCTATAACATATTGACTAGATATATCAAAGTCTTTATAAAGAGCCAAGTCAATATTGACTTCATCAGCCAAGATTAATTGATGAGTTGGCTCTTTGTGGGAAAATTGCACTTTTCCTTATGGACGAAAACTGAGTATGACTAATATTTAGGAACAAATTCTATAATTATTCTATAATTTATGGACGAAAAGTGTAATTTTCCGTTCTATTTTGTTGGTTGACGAAAAAAATCCATAACCACATCATGGTAAATCGGTTTAAATTGTTTATAACCGATCAACTCAAAAAGAAAGTCAATTAAAAAATAGTATACATAAAATAAACTAACCTAAATTATTCATAGCCTAGGTTTATTAATTTAATACACATATTAAGATAATTGTTACAGCAGCTCCTCCCGTATGCAGCAGGTCGCGACCATACCGAGTCCAGTCTCACCGTCTGCTGCTGGGATCTATTGCCATGTAGATGTAGGGTTTCATGGTACGCATCATGCAGCGGCATATGGTTTTATTGTGCGGGAGGCGGATGGCACCTTCCTGGCCGCGGCAAATGGCCCAATGACTTGCCCGTATAACCCACTTTTGGCAGAAGCAATGGCGATGCGTGAAGCACTCTCGTGGTTGAAGGATAATAGCTACTCTACAGTCAGAGTTTACACAGATAGCTCAGTTTTGATCTCAAGTCTTAGTCATGCTCCTTTTTTTTGTACTTATGTTGGTTTTATTTTGCTCTCTTGTAAACACTTAGTATCTTCCATGTCTGGTTCGTTGGTTAGTTACGTAAGTAGAGACGCTAATCAGGCGACTCATTCACTAGCAAACATGAAAGTGCGATCTCTGCACGCTCTATTTAGAGGATGTTCCTCCTCTTTTTATTGAGCGTGATATGGCTAATGCAATCTGATTCATTTGGCTAAAAAAAAAAAAAAAAAAAAAAAAAAAAAAAAAAAAAGATAATTGTTACAGTTTCCCTCATATCACTCAATAAAAAAAAAAAAAAAAAAAAAAAAGATAATTGTTACAGTTTCCCTCATATCACTCAATAAAAAAAAAAAAAAAAAAAGATAATATGCATTGACTTCCCATTTTGTCCTAACATTATGCATATTAAAAATTATCTTGCTAATTTAATAATCATGGTAAGTTTCCTTTCACTTGCATAAATGTTTACTTTTCAATTATTTTTTGCTTTATAACTTAATTTATTTACTTATTTTTATTTTTGGACGACGACTGTACTGGTATTATTATATTAAAAATTTTCTTACTAGTTAAGTCTATATTAAGATATGATATTTACAAAATAATAATAATTTATACTATTATTAAAAAAAAACAAAAATCTTCCTTTCATGCATTCTTGCCCAAATAATAGAAAAGCAAAAATTATTGGGAAAACATTAGAAAAAGGAAAATAAAAATATGATCTTTAATTCACTGATTAATACTAATAATATTAGTAGTAAAAAAGGAAAAATAGAAAATGAAACAAAATTAAGTTACCAGGAAAAATGAAATAGGAATATGAATTAACTTACCAGAAAACGGAATAATAATAAGTTTACGAGTAAAAGAAGGAAAATCCTACCACTGATTAGTAATATATATATATATATATATATATATATATATATATATATATATATGTATATATATATATATATACATATATATATATATATATATATATATGGGTGAGGTTCAAGTGAGGTTATTGTGTTAGGTGAGGATTGTGGTCAAATTCCAACCATCAGATCAAGCCATCTAATAGCTGTAAGTGCACAATGGGAGAAATTAAAAGGTCACTAAAATTGTCAAGTAACTGAAGGAGTAATTAAAATAGGGGTAAAAGGGTAAATGGATTAATGATCGTGCAAGACTAGGAAGGAAAGGCCGAAGAGTCCGGGTCTGTACGCGTTTGGTTTAAACGGCGGAAGTCTAGGGAAGGCAGTCAACATAGTGGGAGTAGAAGGAACGCACGGCGATTAGGTGAAGTTGTAGGGGCAAGTACAGAATCGGAAACTATGGCGGACGGAACAGCAATAAGAAGTCAGCGGCGTGCGTCGATCGAGGCAACGAGTAGACTGCATAAGGGATTATTTTTTTAAGAATGGTATTTGTTTTGATCGATTATCTGCACAAGTGTATTGCATGTCTGTGCAATTCCACGTTCGAATACACTAGTCTAGAGTGGGGTTTTTTAAAGGAATAAATAAAATTGATGAAAACTGGGTGTTGATGGCCGCAACTTCATCGGACTTTGATGTAATGTCGCCGGAGATGGAGTTAGGAAAATCGAGGTGGAACGGGGGGTGGTTTACGGGAAGAATGACCGGAGGCAGTGGTATTGTATGGTTTTTTGGTTTTTTCTTTTCATTTTTTGATAATAAAAACTGGGCGAACATGGGTGTGAATGTTGCCAAGTTGAATAATCCTTCATGCATAAGAGCAACACTGCACTACTGTTTTCAAATTTTTTTTGTTTTGTTTTTGTTTTTGTTTTAGTTATTACGAATTGAGGGTGCGAAGTAGGGGGCTCTTGAAAGGGACAGAGTTGGTGTTTCATGAGCAGTTTTGTGTTTGCAGGTTTATGTTATGTGTTATTAGGGGAGGTAAAAACTGGGTATATGATAGGCAGCAGAAAAGTGATTGAAGAAATGGTCTGTATTGGAGTATAAAAAATGACACTGTGCACTTTAGGGATTTAGAGAAGGGTATAATTAATGTGCAAGAACATGATGAATATGTGATTGTGTATGTAACTGTATATATTTGTGCAGAAAAATGACTAGTGGCTGTGCATAGGAATAATTTCGTGTTTTTGTGCATGCGTCCCTGTGAATATGTGAATTTGTATGTAATTTCGTGTTAACGAGGAATTGATATTCTACATTTCGAATTCGTGTAGCATTGGTGTACGACATTATGCAAATACGATATAACTGACAGAACCGGTATGTGCATCGACGGTGTATGTAGTAATCCAATGTTAAGTGTAATTACAAGTAACCCAAAGTTGGCTAAATAGTTTTTTACCCGTTATGCTGATGTGAACCTACGTAGCAATAGTTAATGCATCACGGTAAGAATTTGGGAGACCATTCTGTGCAACCTACGACGTTTCGTTGTTGCGAAGTAAATATACCAACGTAACAATTAAGTTTTATTATAGGACATGTTTCATGCAACAGTAGTTGTTTATTGATGTGCAGCAACAAAGGATGCTAATGTGCAAGTCGGCACACAAATCCAGATACAATGTGCAAGACACGAAACTATACTGTGCAATTGGGGAATGTTAAAAAAAAAGGGGGGGGGGGAAACAAAATACAACAATAACAAATCCATATCATTATTTTAAGAACAAAGGAAGCAACGAGATTAGACACAGCGCATGGAGAAATTCTACAAACACCGCAATCGAGAAATTTTTAAAAACACCGAATGAGATAAAATTGTTCCATATATTCAAAAAAAAATGTTATTAACAAAACAAAACACATACATTATTTAAAAACCAAGACAAAATGCAGAAAATGAACATGTGAATGGAGAAGTAAAACCAATAGAAATGTGTTTAAACAAAAATAAAATTTAAAGACAAGTGCGACCCATTCCTCATATGTTTCCGTTGCGCATCGGGCAGGTACGACTATTATGGCCCTACTTTTTACAAGTTTGGCATTGACGTTGACGATGTCCAGACTTTTCAACGACTAATTCCCTTGTACTTTTCAAATATTTGCCACCACCCTTGTTATTCAAGATAGGAGGAGGACGAATAACAACTTGTCCATCGAGCGAAGGAAAAAGCTGCCCCTCAAAAGGCCTAACCCCCGAGTCACACGAAGGCGTTCAGTACTTAGTCCCATCGGAAGAAACGTCCATAACACAAGCTTGTAGCGATTCCGACCCAACTGCACACGCAACAAACACAAATACATATGTAAACAAAAAACAAACAATTAAAAAAATTATGCACCGCAAACAAAAAAAAAAAAAAAAAAAAAACAACAGACTGAGTGCACAATTAATATGGAAAAACATGCACATTAGTAAGTAAAAACCTCCACCCACAAAATAACAAATAAAAATGATAAAAACAACGGCAACACACAGGAAACACACCTCGAAACAGAACGTTAAAATATTTTATGCATAAAAATTACCAAACACATAATACTAAAATTAAAAACGAAAAAAAAAAAACAGCCAATGAAAAGTATTTGTTAGTGTTTTAATTGCTCAAAAAACCCCAACATATAATTGGCATTATTATTATGGCAATCTAAGATAGGGTTAGCTTGGTGTCTGTAACACCCCAGATTTTCAAGACATTTAAAACTTATAATAAAGGTAGAATCTTATTAAATCCCAAGATATAAATACAAGCGTTCGGGGTGCTATGCCACACCTGGGCTAGAGAACCCAAGTGCACAGGCTAACTAACTAATATCCTCAAAGCATAAATACGTAAACGTGGCACGCAGGCCAAAAGGGAAACTATCTACTTCTAAGTTCTAGCGCACTCCAGTGACTTAATCTTCTGTGCCTGAAAGCCAAATATATCTGTCCAGCGAGAGATGCTGGTAACCCACTCCAACGCGTTGAAATACAATACATATAGAGATATATATAGATATACGAAAACCATTTTGAGCATGAAGATATATCCTACGAACTCTAGCTTTAAAACCGGGAATGACTTGACAGATAAGGCCAGACACA